GTAGAATAATAAGACTCTGAACTCAATAATATTTCTTGACGAGAGAAGTTATGATTCAAGACTTTGATTTAGAAGTCTTTAAAATTGATATGAGAAATCTCATTCTCATTTATACTTCGAACTCTAGTATGTATTGGTGAAAAGAAACTATATGAGACATTAACTATAAAACTCAGCGAGCATGTAACAAAGGATTAAGTTTAGACATGCGTCTAGTTCTTTTAAGATATCCATAAATTCGTTTGAGATACGTCAATTGGGATTCGAAACAAAGAACATCGATGACTATGCATTTGGACTCGCTCGTGGCAATAAAGCATGAAACCTTCATGTAAGAGTTTTTCCAATCACGTGTGATGCCCAAAGGGTTAGTTTTTCCCATTCGATTCGACCTTTTATTTGACTGTTTCCAAATCATTTTTAATAGTAAGCTTATTATAACTTGAATTAGGGTCGAGTAGTGAAATTGTGAAATTTTGGACCACCGTGCAAGTAGGAAACGAGAGTGAATAAGGCATGCAAGACCAAGTAAATACCATGTCTGCAAGTTTGATGAAGAAACCTCAAGACAAGACATAGAATGCTTGGACAAATCTCACTTTTAGTCTCTAGTAGGTCGAGATGTGCAACACTAACCCTTTTCTATAGTAGAAGATGATGACATGGTTGATTCAGTTGAACCAGACACCTAAAATCCAATTTTATTGATTTCTAATTTTTCCACTATTGTAGCTTATTTTAAATCATTTTTACCATAAATGAAAAAGATTAAAATTTTATGGAAAGGATAATATATCTGAAAAGTAAAATTAAGTGCATCACTCTCAATTAAAGCACCAAGAAATTTTATTATTATTATTATTATTATTTTGAGTGCAAACATGATGAAATTTAATATCCTTAAAATGTGATGATTTATTCCACCATTATTGTACTCCAAGTGAGAGATTATTTAATGTATTTTGTTCAAGTGGGAATTAGGGAAACATGCATATATGATATGAAAAAGATATTATAGTAATGCAATGTCGTTTCATAATCCATTATTTCATGTATCAAATCTCATGGCGGTTCAAGTAAGAAAAGGGATAAAGAACCCTAATTTAATATATGTTCTTTAGGTAGTGGATTTTTATAGGCATTGTGAATTTAATCATACAAATATCTTTCTACAATGCTCCTATTAATCCTTATTGAAGAAGAGAAATTTAGATTGGAGGGTCATATTCGATGTAACCAAATAACTTAGCAAGAGAAGGCCTAAGCTTAAAAATGAAAACATTTAGAACAACAAAATCTAACCATTAAGAAATGACAAACTCAACATGAAAATGCTTGAAATTCAATCACAAAACAGTTCTGTAATAATGGTTGCAAACATCGTTCGGTTAAATTAAAAAACAACCTTAACTAATGTGAAGTAAGAAGAACAGATAAAAGTAAATTAAGTGACCTTCCGTTTTCAATCTTACAAAATATTGTAGGATCTTGTAAATGGAGGATGGGATCATAACCTTACTTAAATATTCATATGAATTTAGTTCAAATCTAATGTGTGAGCCAAATAGGAGAAAAGGCACATTATAGTGCTTGCCTCATCGACATTTGTGGAGATACATATCCAAATTGTTTTTTATTTCCCCATGTGGCGCCCTCTTTACCATTAAGCACACCCATGAGAAGATGATGAACCCTCCACCATTTCCTATATAAAGAGATCAATGGATTCATTCTAGGTATCCTCAAATTCTCTCCATGGCTATCACTAGAGTCTTGTGCCTTACCTTTCTTCTCCTTGTAGGGTTGGGTTTAGCTTCCGCTGCCCGAACCCTTCTTGATTATGATCCCCGAACACGTCACTATGGCTACGATCGCCCTAACCCTAGAGAAGGGTACGATTCAGGGCATCGTGACGAATCCTATGATAATGCATATGGTGGAAGATCGGGTGGAGAATATGGAGTCAGAGGGTCGGCTCTGGGAGGTTCAGGCTATGGAAGTGGTGGAGTAAGGGGTTCGGGATATGGTAACGGTGGAGGAAATGCATACGGAGGAGGGGTTAGCTCGGGCGTAGGAGGAGCAGGATATGGAAGTGGGAGTAGATATGGAGGTGGAGAAGATCATGGTGTTGGTTACGGTGGTGGGCGAAGTGGAGGTTATGAAAATGGAGGCAATGGTGGGTATGGGCAAGGAAGAGATCATGATATCGGCTATGGAAGTAGAAATGGAAATGGAAATGGAAATGGAAATGGGTATGGAGATTCCCATGGATATGGAAATGGTGGAGGAGTCGACGGTGGGTATGGAAGGGGAGACGGAGTAGGAGGCCATGCAGGTGGTTCTGGCATTGGCGCCGGCGGTGGTTACGGAGGCCATGCTGGTGGCTCTGGAATTGGGGCCGGCGGTGCTTACGGCAGTGGAGGAGGTCATGGAGGAGAGCATGATAATAGCAAAGGAAGTGGAGAAGAAGGAGGTTATGACGGTGGATATGCACTCACAAACTCCATCTCAAACAAGAATTGAAACCCTTTCTAAGTAATGAACCCAATATTCATTATGTTAACAAAATAAAGAAATTGGGTTAGAGAATGTTGTTTTCTGAATCTATGTCGAAACTGTTTTTAATGTATGTCAAATTCGAATGAACAAGTATCCCACTCCAAAATTTGAGACTCGATTTCGAGCGACCCTTAACATACTATGCAATGAACCATGAAAAAAGAGATAAGCAAGAAGAAATTGCTGAAAATTTTTAGCAATTAAGAACAAAAAATTTAATCAAAACAAATTGTCAAGAGTTTCATTAAAGAAGTTTGTGGGGTACAAAATGTACAAAGTAACTATGCATGACATGTATAGACTTCTAGATGGCTCGGGACACTCCTCTGTGGCTTTAAGACTCTCGAACTCTCTCCCGCCTTGATCCATGGCTTCACTCACCTGAAAAAGAAGAGTAAAAAGGAATGAATATAAGAATAACCAGAAAGCAACCTATTTGTAGGCTATTTTCACATTCTTATCTCAGTAGGTATCCACAAACTTGTCATGGTGTTCTAGGGAGTATGAACTAAGCTCCAACTCTCTTTTCTACACCTGAGATGTTTCCTCATCTTGTGCACTGAATGATCAATGATCAATGTCTTGGGATAAGGCGCGACCTCATGAATAAAATTGAGGGGACAGTATGGCTAGAACTGAATAGTATCACTCTCAAAACATCATTTGTAGAGATTAGCTGACAACCCACCACCAGACCATGCTACCACTAAAATTGGGGGGTTGTGATCCTTGTGTGTCAGTCAGCTACTAGTCATCCTACATGGTCCCACACTTCCCCACTCAGGGATGTGTTTTTACAGCTCAGTGGTTCTGTTTGGAGACCATTTAGCTATCACCACTAGGTCGGGGAACAAATCACAATACTCCATCCGGCTTTGCTTGGTTCAACGATTTTGGTATCAGAGCAGTGAGGAAAATGAAGCTTCTGAGCTACCTCGGTTGTCTACAGTCACCGTGGTGTCTTACTAGATCTTTCTAGTGCAAATCTTGATGGCTTAGACTTGGATTCATTCATCTCTAGGATTCTCGCGCAAGGTCTCTCAAACCTGTCATGGTTTGGAATACTGGGGTCTGGGTCTGCTAGTCATTCTTTTGCGAGCCTGAATGCGCGGTATCCTAGAGGTATCCTATTCTAGGTCTTTGTCTAGCCTACTTAGTCTCAAGCACCCTAGTCTCACCTCATCGTTTCTCCCTATACTCATTCAAGGAAAAACAACACAAGCAATCACGAACTTGAGTTAACATGTAACCGTTCATGTCATATTAACAAATATGCTCGATGTTCATCTTCACCCGGAGCCTAGATTTCACAAATTTCTCTTCCTCCTCTCACATGCAAACTATATCACAACCTCATCCTAAAGTAGTTTCATAGTCATCGATTCTAAGTACGATAGTGCTTGCAATAGTTTTCACAATAGGTTTTCATCGACAATTGACAATGAGATTCTGACATTCTTTCCCCTTACTCTCACGATTTTTTTGACATTTATTCTCATACGATCAATCTCTATTTTTCACATGTGTTTTGTTAAAATATCATCATTAGCCCAACGGGGTCAAGCCCAATAATTGTATTGAGCTCATTATCTATATATTTTTTAAAAATGATTTAGACATTTTAGTAATAAAGGTAAGGTATATTTGAAGAAAATGATTTAGATATTATAGGACCCAATGATCCGATATTTTAGAATAAATTATCTAGCCTCTCTTATAAATATTCATCCACTTTATTAAGGTTTTCATCTCAAGAAGTCCTAATCAGTCTCAAGCACAGTAGAGGACATAGTTTCGTAGTTTTTACCGAGTATTTTTTAATTTCTTTTTATGTTTCCCACAAATAGTTATATTCAACATGTTCTAAAAGAGTAATGACGTTTTTCTTCTTCCTCTACGGTCATGCTCGCGGGTTGTGTAGCTATTAGATCAGCCGATGTTGACCCACATAAGCATTGTCGGCCTTCTCAATGAGCATTTCGTTAAAAAACCTTCATATTGCTTGTCTTTTCTTTTATTCAATTCTAGGAACCGATCGACTTCAAATGGGATTACCCACTTCATTTTGATATTAAATCTACAAAATCGAACAAGTTTGATCACTGTCCGACAAGGGTTTAGACCATTAGAACGAGCCTTTGTGGATGACATTGCTTATAATGTTAATTTAAATTCAAGACATATCCTTATTTTCAATCCTTTCTTTATTGATGGCCACGAAACTAAGGTTTAAAACCCTAATTTCATCTTTCTTTTTACTCCATCGTCGCTTTGTACTCTTGTAGCAGCAAGCTTACGGTCTTTATTATTGTATCTTCATACGAAACAGCACTAGCGTATCATTTGTTGTCGTTGTGTAGTTAGTTATCATGTCAATTTAACACACTGAATGTCTCCAATTCAAGTCTAGGGATGCCACTTATGATGCCCCACATTGGTTGGGAGGAGAACAAACCACCATTTATAAGAGTGTGGAATCTTCCACTAGTAGACGCATTTTAAAGCCTTGAGGGGAAGCTCGAAAGGGATAATATCTGCTAGCGGTGGGCATGTGTCTTTACAAATGGTATCAGAGCCAGGTTCCGGATGATGTGCCAGCCTTCTCGCTGTTTCCCAAAGGGGGGTAGACACAAGGCGGTGTGCCAGTAAAGACACTGGATCACAAAAGGGGTGGATTTGGAGCGGTCCCACATCGATTGGAGGAAGGAAAAAGTGCATGACGTTAGGGAAGGGGGTGGATTGTGATATCCCACATTGGTTGGGGCGGTGTGCCAGTAAAGACACTGGGTCACAAAAGGGGTGGATTTGGAGCGGTCCCACATCGATTGGAGGAAGGAAAAAGTGCCAACGATGACGCTAGGGAAGGGGGTGGATTGTGATGTCCCACATTGGTTGGGGTGGTTCCACATCTATTGGAGGAAGGAAAAAGTGCCAGCAAAAACACTGGGGAAGGGGGTGGATTGTGATGTCCCGCATTGGTTGGGAGGAGAACAAACCACCATTTATAACATTTATAAGAGTGTGGAGACCTTCCCTTAGCAGACTCGTTTTAAAGTCTTGAGGGGAAGCCCGAAAGGGAAAGCTAAAATAAGACAATATCTGGGTCGTTATACCACTGATTGACTAATATCTTTTGAGCATATATCAATGATTAAATAGAAGAGAAGATAATTCTTTTTTTCTCTCTCGATCATTCCCGAATAATAAAAATCGAGGGAGAACAAGAAGAAGAATAAAAGGTAATAATTCAATACAAAACAATCAAAAAGATTGAAAGAGAAGAATCTAAAGAAAAAGTTACAAGTTATTAGGTCAATGTCATGTCTCTTTATCCACATGAATCTAAGCTTTGAACTTGACCATCTTTCCCTCTTCACCTCTTCAAATTCACAACTCCATTTCCCAAAGGACATTGCCCAAGTAGCTAATTGGTAGGCCACAACTTTAAAGAGAAAGAGTCCATTTTTGCGATCATGTGTGGTGGGGAATCCCAAACTTTTGTTCTTTGTTTCAAAGAAAAATGTGCTCCGGTAGGGTCGAGAAATATAATCTACTTTTCAATGATTCAATAGTACACCTCAATAAAATTATTTTGGGTTTCATTTTTCTCGATTCAAAATCAAAAGTTGTTTAGTTCAACAATTGCAGATTCAAGTATCAAACAATCGATCTGCTTTGATGTTTGCTTTATCGACTTAAAAGTATTATTTGAATTACTCTTTAATCAAGTATAAAATCCAAAAACATTCGACATGTGGTATCGAGAGTTTTTCAAAGAATACTTCTAGTTACATTGATAAGGACAACAAATCTCCACGTATCTTCACAATGATATGATATTATCCACTTTAGTCATAAACCCCTCACAGTTTTGTCTTTGAAACTACCCAAAAAAACCTCGTACCAATGAGTATATATTACGGATCTCTCACGTTACGTTCCTAACTAATGGAAGACATTGTTTTAAATAAACTCAAAATATTCTTAATCTTAATAATAATCTTAAAAGTACATTAGGGTTGGGTTGTAACCCTATTTTCGGGTTGGTCGGATTGATTGAACCAAAAAAGTGTTAACCCATGAACCAACTTGAGTAGGTCAGGTTGGTCGAGTTTTCAGGTCATATGCACAATTCTAATTGCATACGCCTAACGTACATTACATTCAAACATAATTTCTTGCCATATTCAAAAATATTGTCGAACAATATGCTCAGTCTTAATCGAAAAAAGATACATTTTTCGAGATGAAACTAGAATTAAGAATTCCTCAACTTCTTAAACAACGAGTTTCGTTTACGTCAATTGGAAAAACCTAATGAATTAAGCATGCATGACACACGAGGTCGTGATCGATGAGGTTCTTGAAGAATAACGAGACAAATATTAATATTTTGAAAGGTTGGTATTGATTTTGATGAATCCAACAAGGGAAATGAAGATAACAATGGTGTATTATTGTAGTTTTGAAAGGCCAAATCCATTGGATTTGTAATACAAATAATATACATTGAGTTGCCGTTTTCACCAGGTTGGCTTTGCTTTTCTTGTCCCAAGAACCTTTATTTTGCTTTTCCCTATCTTCCATGAAAGAGGAAAAAAAAGCATACACTATACTATAAAAAAAAACATTTTTAAAACATGGGTGGAATTATATATATATATATACCAATGTATATATATATATATATATATATATATATATATATATATATATATATATATATATATATATATAATATCACAACCGTTAGCAAATATTGTTCGATTTGACCCGTTAAGTATTGTCATTAGCTCACGATTTTAAAATTCTTCTACTAGACAAAGGCATCCGCACATCACCTTATAACGTATGTTTTGTTCATCTCTTTAACTGATGTGAGATCTCACAATCCACCTCTTTGAAGACCTAACGTCCACATTGACACACCGCCCGGTATCTAGCTCTGATATTATTTGTAATAGTCGAAGCCCACCACTAATAGATATTGTCTGTTTTGAATTGTTACGTATCGCTGTTTTGAAATGTGTGTATTAGATAGAGATTTTCGCACCTCACCCTTATAAGAAATGTTTCGTTCTCCTCTCCAAACGATGTGGAATCTCATAATCCATCCTGTTGGAGTTCAACGTCCTTGCTCGCATACCATTCGGAGTATGGCTCTGATACTATTTTTAAAGATTAACTAGCAAAATAAATAAATAAGATTGGAATTATTATCAAACAAAACCTTATCGAACCAACCTTGAATTCATGATCGATTCTAATACACTCGAACTACTATTATAATTTATACACCATACACAATTTTTTAAATTAATATAACAATATACGTGACAAAATATATAAAAAAAATAATATGTATTAAAAAGAAATATATCCAAAAAAAAAAAAAAAAAAGCAAAGACACAGTAAACAGGGTCCGACAAAAAGCTGTTGCCGTGTAGGACGCTCCAAATACTTTGATGCCACGTCATCCAAACCTCTTTATTATTATTATTTTATTAATAAAATAACAAAATAGATTTTTTTTTTTTTTCTTTTTGGGGGAAAAAAAGGGCAAAAGGCGTCTCCGTGTGCGTATGTCTGTCTTCATCCGGAATTTAATTTCTTTTTTAATATATATATATACATATTCATTTAATAAATATTAAGGAAAAGACTATTTTACCCTTGTTCCTCTTATTGAGCTCCAAGTTGGAGCTTGTGAGTGTGTAGAGTGGGCCCATTTCCCCACATGATCTGTTCCCCTTCTCTGGGCCCCACTTCATCCACCGCTTCCTCTTTGGCAACTCCATATCCATCCACTACTCTACACGTGTTAACTAGACATGTGGGTCCCATGTCTAAAATACTTTTTTAAGCTTTATTTTATTTCAAATAAAATAAATGGCCTGAAATAAAAATTAAAAAAAAAATTTATAAGTCACAAAATTTATAGTCACATTTACGATACTATTGATAGACGTTGGTTCGCGAAAGATAGACTAAATCTTAGTTTTGATATTAAGTTCATGAAAAGCTTCTATCATGTATAGATAGAAACATTATCGATAAATATATAATGTTCGTAGATTTTAATCAACATTAAAATAATAGCTTCAATAAGTGTTCGATCGACATGGTTGTGATTGAAGTCAATTTATTGATAAGCTATTGTCGTAGATGTATTTAAATCATATATAATAATTCATCATTGATTATAACTTCTAACTATATACATAATACATCATTGATAAGTTTCTATCTCTCATCCACGTATATTAATGAGTGATTGATGCCTATTGAAGATACTTCATCTTAGTTATTATTAAAGTTTATCGGTAAATAGACTCTTATAAAAAAATATACTAATATGCTGAAGTTTATTTGGAATAGCTCAAGCATATCGTAGCAGATATTGTCCGTTTTGGCCTGTTACGTATCATCATCAGTCTCACGATTTTAGCACACGTCTACTATAGAGAGATTTTTCACACTATTATAAGGAATGTTTCGTTTATCTCTCTCACCAATGTGGGATCTGACAAGTATTAGAGCTAATCACCAGAATAATGTGGGACATTGGTCAGAGTAGGGCTAGACCTTCTCCATAGTAGACGTGTTTTAAAACCGTGGGGTTGATGGTTATACGTAACAGGCCAAAGCGGACAATATCTGCTAGCGATGGATTTGTGCTGTTACAAATAGTATCAGAGTCAGACACTCGCTAGGTTCTGAAGGGGTGGATTGTGAGATCTCACATTGGTTGAAGAGTGGAACGAAGAATTCCTTATAAGGGGGATGTAAAATCTCTCCCTAGTAGATGTATTTTAAAATCGTGAGGCTAATGGCGATACGTAACGGGCCAAAGTGAACAATATTTGCTAGCAATGAGTTTGAGTTGTTACATTATTAGTGATAAAAGTTATCACTAATAGATTTCATGGTTGAGTTTGTATTTTCCTGTATGCTATATAGGAGTGTTCATATGACTCGATAGTTTGACCTACTTAGACTACCTAACCCAAATCATAAAGATTCAGTTAGGTTAGATTTCTTTTATTGTTTGAATTCGGTTGAATTTTTTGAAAACCAAAAGTTCGGGGTATTTCGTAGGTTTACATTTTTTTAGTCGGTCAACCCGACCATTCCAAAAATAGAGTTATAACTCAACCGAACTCTACACTGCTTATTATTATGAAAATTAAAAATATGTTACGTTTGTTACTGATGTTAGCGATAAGTTGTAATTTCTCAATGTTAGATATATGAGTTTTATTATATTTTAGTTATTAATGTAACATATATCGTAGATAAGTACAATTTTTATTAAATAATTAAAAAGATAACCTGAGAACTCAATCCAAAAATAGAGGATTGTGAACTCTATTCCGATTGTTTAGATCATTAGCCTAACCAACCTAAAATTTCGAGTTGATTCAAAATTATTTTTCAATTCCATAAGGAAAATTTTAATTAACTCAACCTAATTTATAAATTTACAAATCTATTAATAAAAAATTAAAAATTTAGCGTTTTGAAAATAAGGGATCAGAGTTACCATGTGAATGTTTGCTTAATCCACCACCCTGGCTTTGACACCGCAAGGCAAGTTTCCATGACTGCCACATGTAGGGTCGATTAATTACTTTTCGGCTCCACCCTTTTTGATCTTTAAATCACCATTCGCCATACTTTGTACATACAACCTCACATTTTCCAACACAATCGATTTTTTCTCAACCAACATAGTCTATTTCATTTTCTTCCCAATCTTCCATTTATCCTTCACACAAACTCTAACATAAACCTATCAACCTTCTGCTGAGATTTACCTTTGGAATCTTGACACCGCACAGGCCTCTTCGCCAACCAAGTTACGCCTCCCTTCTAGCCAAAATTGGCTCCTTCGCCTACTGTGGCGACTCTTCCAGCTTCAACATTGTCTTTGTCCCTTGCTCTAGGTTTCCCCTTCTACTTCTTGGATTGACATATTCTCACTAGAGCCAAGGCAGCATCGTCGGTAAGCGACAATCCCTCTTCATGAGTTAGACATATTCTCGCCGAAGCCAAGACAGCATCGCCGCTGAGCAACGATCCCTCTGCAGTTTTCGA